TCCAGTGCTGAGATCCTGAGCGTTAGGGAAAACATGCTGCTGCTTGTGAGAAGAGAACATCTGGAAAGGAGGTGAGTGATAAAGAGCAAATAAAACCTTATGAGGGCAGGCAGAGGAGGACGAAGACAACACTTGCGTTAAGTGGCAAGGAAAAGAGTAGACCCTGTTGATCTTCGTCTTGGAAAAGAAATCTTATTCATCTATGTGAACTGGATGAAATCCTATTAATTCAATTCTAGATTCCTACCTATGGCAGGACTGTCAGTGTATTTTCTTTGGAAATGTATACATTGGGAGATCTGATTACAATTGCTTATATGATCCAGATTTTCTGCTGAATCCTTATGCCACTCTGCTCATAGGACCTACAGTAGTTGAGCTGAAGGACCAGCAATGGACCACGCCAAGAGCTCCTCATTCCCTTGACATTAAAGTTATCATGTTTCTAATCTGTTTTTATCAGTGACACTGATTAAAACAGTACACTGAACAATGAGTGGATATTTCACCCACCCATTTTCTGGTGATGGATGCCGGAAAGAGATGGGACGAAGCCTAATCCTGACCCTGGCACAGCCTGAGCACCAGGAGACCTCCCTTAACATGCTTTAGTTTGCACTGGTCACCCAGGTGCCATCGTGGCCACGCAGCAGGCTCCAGCCACATCCTCTGTGTTTAGTGACAAGTTTAAGGCAAATAAAAATCACCTGGATAAATAGCATTAGGTGTCAGGTGTGAAAAATCCCTCTATGGTACTGCTTCAATAATGCCAGAACATGAGCAAATCTTTTGCTTTTTCTCCCTTCGAAGGTGCAGAACCTCAAAGAAGAAGTTTAATGCTGTTGGAAGTCTTACGCCGTAACATTTACTTAATCTGGAAGATATTTCCACAGTTCCAAGTAGATATTGCGTCAGTCAATTGTATATATTTACTTGTGATAAGAACTGTTTCGACTTATTTGATTCTTTTACTTGACTTTCTGGAAGTACATTCATTCTTGAAGGATAAAGAAATAAGTCACTCAGATTTAGGAAGATATTTTTAAAATATTGTAGACCACATAAAGCCACTGCACATGCCCCATTACTCATGATATTCTGCTCAGATGGATTTCTACATTTCAGATAGAATGATCCCTCACCAGCTGTCTTTATGAAGTAGATTTATTTTTCATACTCTGAACACATAAATAAGAATTCCTTTCAGTGTGTTGTCTGTTGCCAAGCTGAACCGTTAATGGTATTTAACTTGGGCTGGGACAGAGGAGTGGGGGAGAGCTGTGTTAGCAACGGCCCGTTTCAGGGGATGGGGGACCCCGAGGAAGGGTCACATCACGGCGTAGCTGACGTGGGGTGGGCAGGTCGGTGGCGGCTCTTCACGGTCTCCTTTGGGACAGGAGAGACTTCTGCAGAAGGAAGTGGAGTAACGGGTTCATTGCAGGGATCTGCAAAGAAATCTGAATAATAAATTCTCCCTTTATGTGGAAAGAACTCTTCTGTATGTTTCAGCTCCTAAAAGGTATCTGTAATGACTGCATGCTTTTTCAGGTCATCAGGTGAAGTAGAGAAGAGTGGATTGTCACCTTTGTGAGTTAGACTGCGGCAAATTCAGAAATATATCTCTGTTCGAGTGATTGTGTAAACCTGCTTGAACTTCAAAGGCGGGTGATACTGACCTTCACTGCTCTAGGAATTGGGGAAGGTTCAGTCTTCCCCAGACCTTCGTTGCCCCTAAAGACAATGTTTCTCTGCTAATTAAAAATATTCTACATAGGCTTTTAATTTTCTTTGCTCACAATTGTATAACCACAAGTAAGCATTTAGGATTTCCAAATTTTTTTAAGTCTCTCTGACCCCAGCTCATTTCTACAACTGAAATACTTCCAGTCACTGGACCAGGGAAAGGGCTGCAGAACATCCGCAGGTGGAGATCCCAAAGCACACAAAACCAGTCTGTGCATGTGGAAAGGCTCCACACTTTTAAAATAAATTGGAGGGATGCTAACAATGTATTCCAGGTTGCAAAGGTGTATGTATGGGCTCAAATGGCGGGATTTTGGCTGTGACAAATTGGAGCAAACTGGTGAGACCAGACTGTGGCATTCAGGAGAGTAAAGCTCCAGTTGGACAGGGACTTCAGTTATGAAAATGGAAGATCATAAACTTCTTTTTTTCCTCATTTTATTGGTACCCATTTACCTTGTAGAACACTTTGATTTTAAAGCAGTCGTTACTGATAGTTCTGAAACACCCACATGTAAGATCTGTATCTTTTACAGATATTTATGCAAAATTTGTTGCTTATCATATATAGAGTACAGTGTTTTTCAGAAACATCAATAGGGTATGCCTTGTTATTGCATTGATTTGAATTCTATGTCAACCATAATAATAAGATATGTAAAGAAATACGTATTTCTTTAGAAAGAAAGATCCATTCTGAAATCCAGAATTCCTGCCTTCACTGCTGGGACCCTGGCGTTCCTTTCCTCCCTGTGTAACATTACAAGAAGTGAAGCATTCCCTTAAGGGCAGGCGTTCTAATGCTTTCCATCATTTTCCATCCATGTGGAACTCTCTTCTGTTATGCCCAGGTGTATAAATAGTACAGAAAATGGAGTTTAGTGAAGAATTCTGCTGACAAAATGAAGGGAAAAAATCTACCTTATTTTTTCTTACCCATGTTGCTACTGCAAGCCTAAAAGCAGTACAAAGCAACAGAAATAAATGTATTTTAGTCTTCTCCACGAACAAATATGACTCTCCAAGTACACACAGAGTAGATGTAATAGGCATCATTATTTTTAAAAGTACAAGAAAAATTTAATTTTGTCTTCTTTACAAACTGTCACAAGCAAGCTCAACCTTCTCTAAAACAAGAGCATCCATGAGTAGCAGTTTACTGGGAAGTTGGTAACAATACCTGCTTTGCACAAAATAGAGGAAATTGCTGCTTTCTTATTTGTAACATTTCGAATCCATGGCTGAGCTTCTGCAAACGTGATGGAAACAGCTCTGGTCACATCTAAACAAGGTTTTTGCGTAGTTATATCTCAACAACCGCATGTATTTTTATCAACGATGGCAATATGGGTAGCCCAGCTCTCCTCAGCTATCCATGCTCTGTCGGGATTGCACTGCTTCAGCAGATTTCCATGACAACTCTCTCCTTGTTTCATTCCAGTTTCTCCGAAGATATTCCGTATTTCGAGTGACATCGTTGTGAACGAAGGAAGCAATGTTACTCTGGTGTGCCTGGCCACGGGGAAGCCAGAGCCTTCCATTTCTTGGAGACACATCTCTCCGTCCGGTAAGCACGATTATCTGTCACCTGGAGCTTTCCGCAACGCTGCACCAGTAACGGGCTTTGCATTTTCAGTTGTCGGGAGTGTGACAGCATCACCTTTGTATGCCTTAAAAAGTCTGTGTGCCTAGACAGACTTTTAGAAAATAAAAGCTTCTTCAGATTTCAGCTGAGATCAGTGAAAACTATAATACTAATGTAACATAGGAATGTAGAAATAAAGGCACCCTAAATATGAGTATATTTTTAAGCCTGTTTAATCAGGCCACAGACATTTATCAAGTGATTCCAATTAAAACCAAAACAAGGAAATAATTAAGAACACACAGGGCTCTCTAGAAGTAGGTGTGAAAGTCAAAAACATTCACACGTCATGCAATAGATTTAATTTAACGTAACTACCATTGAACCATTATTCCATGATACAGCATAGTTTATTAGAATGGTTTTATTGAACAAACAAAATGGCATCTAAAAGCATAGTTTCTATTCAATATCTCCGTTTATACTTTTAATTCCTCATAACATATTTAAAGGAAAACTTTTAGCTAACATTACAGCTCTACACTGGTTGACTTGGCGCAGAGCCACCGAAAACGGTTCCCTGCGAGCAAATCAGGATTCGTCTTGCTCCGAGGTGGGGAGGTCCCCGCTCCGTGTCTCAGATCTACCGGCTTTGGAAATCCTGGTGGGGTTTGTGTTTCTGAAAGGAGGTACTCCCCTCTTCCAGCTGGCTGCTGCATACAAGACTGGTATTGTACTTTTATAAGGACTCTACAATGATAATTGATTTTACAGTGAAGGTCTTTCTGTTTGCTCACACAACTTTTATGAAAGCCATGTAATTGCAGGGAAGAACGGTTTCATGGACTGTCACAGCTTACCACAGTGTCTCATAATCCTGAGTAACAGTTTGCTTTACAAAGCAAGATCTGAAAAAAAAAAAACAAACCACAACACTAAAAACTTTTGACCTTTAAGACAATGACAATGAATTCTGCTTGAAGTGTCCATCAAGGGACTAGGGAAAAAAATTCAGTTGTAGCAGAAAATGGATTTTAACTAAATGTCAAATAAAATTTTATTGGAAACTGTGGTGATACTTTAGAGTAATAGCTTAAAGCATTAGATTGTCTACAGAAAGGAGCTGTTACCATTTTCCTGGAGAGGAAAAAAAAGCAAAAAAAAGGAGAATTAGGGCACTCAGGCTGGAGAAGGGGTCTGAAAAGGAACTAGATCCTCCTCATCTTGAATTCAGACAAAATTAGTGCACATAATCACAAGGGCTTTCAGTGAACCCACTGATTTTGTGTCTTGACCAAAGGACTGAGAATGAGGACTGAGAGGAAAAATGTGATTATCCAACTACAGACCCATTACACTTACACAATGAGAACTGAAAATGAAATTTGAGGACAAGACTAATCAAGGATATCGCGGTACAGGGAGAGTCAATCAAAGTGCTCACGGTGCGATGATGATGTGCTCTTACCAAGTGCCTAGCACAGCAAACTGCGGGCAGACAGGTATGTTTTCTCACTAGTGAAGACTTAAGGGCAGGCAGTTGCAGCCTGTGCTTTATTTCCCTTCCCTTGCCCAGTATCTGCTTCGTTCTGCCTTCTCAGCCCTTCTTGGAAGCATACATGTATAGTGCCCGTAGGAGACAGCAACATGCTTTTACCATATGCTCACTGTTTCATCCTCTCTGTTGGAGCATCTTGACTGAGCAGTTGGCAGGTAAACCTGAAAAGTCTATGCAACTTCTCCTTTTAGGATTATCTCTGGGGAAGACTGGCGTGTTGGCTTGGTTTTGCCACGTCCCTTACTCTCTCACCAGGAAGCAATAGGTTATATGAAACACAAACATGGGCTTAACAGATTTAGTACCTAAAAAAAAAAAAAAAGGAAAATCACAAAATTGAACCACATACTGGCTAAGTGGGCAGGGACCTCTGGAGATCAGCTGGTCCAGACTCTGCTTAACCCAGAGCAGGTCCCTCAGGGTGTGTCCAGTCGGGTTTGAATAACTCCAAGGATGGAGATGCCACAGTGTCTCTGGGCAACCTGTTCCAGTGTTTGATCACCCTTACCTTTGAAAAAAGGCTTTTTTCACCTTTAAATGGAATTTTGTCTGTTTCAATGCGAGCCCGTTGCCCCTTGTCCTGTCACTGGCACCTCTGAGGAGAATCTGGATCCATCTCCTTTACACATCCATCAGGCATAGGACCCCCAGAGCCCCCTCCTCTGCAGGCTGAGACCCCAATTTCCTCAGCTCCTCCCCAGTTCAGAAGCTCTGGCCCCTTCGTCACCCTCATGGCCCTCTGCCGGACTTGTTCTGGGATGTCCATGTCTCTTTTGTCTGTGGGGGCCCCTCAGGACACACATGTATAATTCATCATTGCTTGCTGCCCAGAGTGGCACTGGAAGCATCTCCTCATGCCGTGACTGGTTTATTTCACCTCCAGATGCATTTAAACTGGTGCTCGTGAACTGCTCAATCTTGTTTATGGGCAAGGAGGAGGTACACCTGATACAACAACAATAAATGCTTGGTTTATATATGTAAATGAAGTTTGAAGAGTCTAACTTCAGAATCATTATTAGCCTAGACCTAACATTCCCTGCCCATGGCAAGGTGACCTTTCCAACCCAAACCATTCTACTATCCTATGACTTATCAAAAAAAGAAAAAATAATAATGCAGTTAAAGTTGTTATAGACATACCTAGTTTCTACCCCTTTTCCTGGTGGCTTGCACACCTTTCCCTGCCCCGTGGGGGCTGAAGGTCGGTGGCTTCATTCTGGTGGGCAGCTGTTATAGTGAGTTGTGAGCGTCCAGGATCTCTCAGAGGGAGGAATAAGATCTTCACAGTGGTGGTTTCTTCATCCTCGCTTTAAGATCTGTTCGGGGTCATTTTTACATGTTTGCTATCATACTTCTACACCTTTGCTCTTTCTTCATTGCTCTGCGTCTCCACACTACATCCTAATGTACTGTTTGCGGTGCCTTTTACATATGTCCGATATCATTCCTTTGCTCTCCAATACCCCTAAACCCCACTTTGTCCAGCTCCAAATCTGCATTTCTTTAACTGACCATGGGCGAGCTGTTCACAGCCGTGGGGTCTCCTGTAGCAGCCCCTGCCCATTTCTACCCACCCTGTGCTTGCCCTCCTCTGCACCCTGTCCCATGCCCCTGCTCCCACATCAGCCTGGGTTCCTCTGCTTTCCGTCGTTGTGTAGCAGTCATAAAAACCTCGTTACACACAGAATAGCTGCTCGCTGCTGCTGGCTGCGTGAAGCTATGGTCATACCGTGGAAACGCGAAGGTAAAACAGATTAGCCAGGGACAGCTGGAGGAAATGCTGTCCCAGCTGAACCAGGCTTGACAAAGCTGCAGGCAGGGCAGGACAAGTCCAGGCAGCGATGCTCTGACAAGCCGCAGTGATGAGGCCTTGCAAACTCATCGCAAATGCTGCATTACAGGGCTGCATCGTTACAAAACCCATTTCATCCGAGAGGCGAGCACCGATGTGGCCGCTGCAGGGCACTGGGACGTGCCTTGGGTGTTCCTGGTTGATTAATGGACACAACTCTGCCTGGAGTGGGAGAACACAGGATCCAAATAACTTTTTGCTCAAAAATCTTGTAAAATGTGATGGAAGCAAACATATAATTTACAGAATATGTTATGTCCGCTAGTCTACCAAATAAAGAAGAATTTTTCCATTTCAGTAACACCGTACCACTTTTGTGCTCAGGTGTATGTTCTGGTGTACAGACAGTTGTGAACTACACTCAAATCCAATTAAATACCAGTCTGGCAAACAAGAAGCCTGGATTTATTAGAAAAAAAAAATGCCAGAGAGTTGAAAACACCAGATTTCTGTAACAGTTTATATTCTGTCTGCAGCAAATTACCTTTATCTAAACATAAGCTTCATCTGCACTTTATAATTTCTACCAGTTTTCTCCTGTAATTCCCAGTGGCACTAATGAGGCCTACATGCAAGCATCACATCTAGAATACAACACTAAATTATATTAACGAATCGCATTTAGAATATTCTGAAATAGTTTGCCAAAGCTGCTACTAAAAGATAAGAAACTGAAATCTCTGAATACAAATGATTCAATGTAGACTAATTCCAAAATATTATCATGATTTGCATCAGTGCAGCCTTTACTTGGATAAGGTCGGATTCAATTTTTTTGAACAAGAGATAAAATGAACTTTTTGTAGGAATAAAAATAAAATGTATTTAGAGGTGATTTTTAACTTAGTACATAAATTATTGGCCTGGAATCTTTATTGTGCATGTTTAACTTGCAGTCATTATGTAAATGCCTTCATTATATAAATATTCATTATACAAACCCATTATGTAAATCCACAAAATCTACACATTCAGTGTAACACCGTAAGAAACATGGGGCTGTAGTTTGTAATCTGAAAATCTCGTATTGTTGAAATGTCATCTGAATAAATTGCAGGTATTACTTATTTTGTTCTGACATTTAAGAGCAAAGTGCAGCATCAATGGTTTAGAGTGAAACTAGAATTTTAAAGAATTAAGGTGTGCCTGAAACATAACTCCAGCTTTTAACACTTGTATGCACTCCGTGTGCGTGTGTGTGTTACGTTGTCGTTTTTGAAAAGCAAGCTCTGCCAGTGTTGCCGGGAGCAGCAACAAAAGCCATTCAGAAATCTTTTGATAAAATGTTACTGCTTTGCAAAATTCGAGTGCTGTATGTCAAAACTTTTTTCCGCTTTGGTTTTGACGATAGTTTCCAAAGGTGAGTTTTCCCAGCCGCAGGGGGACCAACGACCCGGGATGCTCGGGTGATGTCCGGCAGAGTGACCACGCTCAGACCGCTGAGCTGAGCAGGGGCCGGCAGCAGAGGCACACACTGCCCGAGCACTTCACTGCTTAGGACAGGCTTGCTGGGAAAGCCTGACATTTCCTGGGCTTATCTAAATGCAAGATAGGTTAAATCCCATAGTT